ATCGGCCCCACGGTGACACCGGGGGGGACAAAAACCCCTCCTGGGGATTGGGGGGGGAGAAACCGGCCCCGATTTGGGGGAAAAACGAGCAAAAACGGGAAAAAACAGCCTGGATTTGGGGAAAAATTGGAATATTAGTCCAGATTTGGGGCAAAAATGGGGAAAAAATTGGAATGTTAACCCGGATTTGGGGCAAAAATGGGTAAAAAATTGGAATATTTGCCCGGATTTGGGGTAAAAATGGGCAAAAAAAGTCAAAAGGAGCCGAGATTTGGGGTGAAAAGGAACCAAAAAGGGGAAGTTGCCCCCGGAGTGGGAGGGGAAGTTTTTGTCACCGGTTGTGTCACCGTGAGCAGGATTAGCAGTATAAGCACCACCACCAGCCCCACGGTGACACCGGGGGGGACAAAAACCCCTCCTGGGGATGGGGGGGGAAAACCGGCCCCGATTTGGGGGGAAAACGAGCAAAAACGGGAAAAAACAGCCCGGAAAAAAAGGGGGGAAAAAAAGAGACAAAAAGAGCCCAAATTTGGGTCAAAAAATGGGGGGAAAGAGCAAAAACGAGCCCAAATTTGGGGGGAAAAGTGGTGAAAGGAGCCCAAAGGAGCCGAGATTTGGGGCGAAAAGGAGCCAAAAAGGGGAAGTTGCCCCCGGAGTGGGAGGGGAAGTTTTTGTCGCCGGTTGTGTCACCGTGATAGAGCTCATAACCAGCAACCCAACCAGCACCAGCCCCACGGTGACACCGGGGGGGACAAAAACCCCCGGGGACGGATTTGGGGGGAAAATAGGGAAAAAAGGGGAAAAAACGACCCAGATTTGGGGCAAAAATGGGGAAAAATGGGAAAAACCAACCCGGATTTGGGGGAAAAATTGAGAAAAAAAAGAGACAAAAAGAGCCCAAATTCGGGTCAAAAATAAGGAAAAAAGAACACAAATGAGCCCAGATTTGGTGTAAAAAGGGGAAAAAAAAGAGCTGAAAAATGGGAAAATCGAGTCCCGGATTTGGGGGGAAAATGAGAAAAAAAAGAGGCCAAATGAGCCCAAATTTGGGGTAAAAATGGGGGAAAAAGAGGGCAAATGAGTCCAGATTTGGGGTAAAAATGGGGGGAAAAACCAACCCGGGTTTGGGGGGAAATGGAGAAAAAAAAGAGGTCAAATGAGCCCAAATTTGGGGTAAAAATGGGGGGAAAACCAATCCGGATTTGGGGTGAAAATGGAGAAAAAAAAAGAGACAAAAAGAACACAAATTCGGGTCAAAAATAGGGAAAAAGAGCAAAAATGAGCCCGGATTTGGGTGAAAAATGGGGAAAATTAGCCTGGATTTGGAGAAAAAATGGGCAAAAATGGAAATAATTAGCTCAGATTTGAGGTAAAAAAAGGGAAAATGAGGCCAGATTTGGGAAAAAAATGGGGAAAGAAGGGGGAATGAACCCGGATTTGGGGTCAAAATGGGTTGAAAGAGGTAAAAAGGGGAAGGGGAAGTTTTTGTCAGCCCAGATGTCACCGTGACAGGCAACATCAGCACCCCAAGCACCAGTACCAACCCCACGGTGACACCGGGGGGGACAAAAACCCCCGGGGACGGATTTGGGGAGAAAAACGGGAAAAAAAGGGGAAAAACCAGCCCCGATTTGGGGGGAAAATGGAGGAAAAAAAGAGACAAAAAGAGCCCAAATTTGGGTCAAAAATAAGGAAAAAAGAACCCAAATGAGCCCAGATTTGGGGTAAAAAGGGGAAAAAAAGAACTGAAAAAATGGGAAAATCGAGTCCCGGATTTGGGGGGAAAATGAGAAAAAAAGAGGACAAATGAGTCCAAATTTGGGGTAAAAATGGGGGAAAAAGAGGCCAAATGAGCCCAGATTTGGGGTAAAAATGGGGGAAAAACCAGCCCGGATTTGGGGGGAAAATGAGAAAAAAAAGAGACCAAATGAGCCCAAAATCGGGTCAAAAATGGGGAAAAAAGAGACCAAATGAGCCCAGATTTGGGGTAAAAATCGGGGGAAAAAAAGAGACAAAAAGAGCCCAAATTCGGGTCAAAAATAAGGAAAAAGAACCCAAATGAGACCAGATTTGGGGTAAAAAGGGGAAAAAAAAGTAGTCAAAATTCGGAGTCAGAGGAGTCAAAAAAGGGGAAGTTGTCCCCAAAACAAAGGGGGAGGGGCAGGAAGGGAAGTTTTTGTCCCCGGCTGTGTCGCCGTGATCGGCGTGAGCGTCCCAACCAACACGAGCCCCACGGTGACACCGGGGGGGACAAAAACCCCTGGGACGGAGGGGACGGGAAACCGACCCCGATTTGGGGGGAAAATGGGCAAAAACAGGGAAAAAAGGGGAGGGAGGGGCTCAAACTCCACCCAGTGACGTCATTGACCCACTCAATGATGTCATTGACCCAATGATGTCATTGACCCACCCAATGACGTCATTGACCCACCCAGTGATGTCATTGACCCACCCAGTGACGTCACTGACCCACCCAATGATGTCATTGACCCAATGATGTCATTGACCCACCCAATGATGTCATTGACCCACCCAATGATGTCATTGACCCACCCAGTGATG